AGGGATGTGAGTCTGGATGAGGATGATTTGCCTGGAAAATGAGAGGGGCCGTCATACAGTCCTCCAGATTGAACAGAGCCTTCCTAAATACACACCCAGTCCACACCCACTGACACACACAGCTCAGCCATACCCTGAAACAAACATGGCGAGACCATCTCTACCCCTTGCTACTGCAAAGTTTTCAGGGGCTCACCTACGACCAGCTTCTCTCCTGCTAGAGAAGATGTCAGGAAAGGCACACAGGGCCAGGAGGGAGACCTGAGTGCAAGTGTGATTCCCACCCTTAACTGGCTGTGCAATTTTAAGCAAGTCCCATCACCTCTCTGAGCCTCAGTTTCCCATCTGTGAAATGAAACCTGGACGAGAAGGGTCCTTCTGGCTGTGACATTTTATGCTCTCTCTACAGCCAGTCGTGGCTTTGCTCCCACATAGATCTGCTGAATGCCATACAGATGAGCCCTGATCCGTTCCAACTCCTGTCCCTACTGCCCTCCAAGGCAGGATCTCCTATTACTGGACGAGGTAGCCCCCAGAGAATGGCAGGGGGGAGATACCTTCCCCACTGTTAAAGTTCTTTGGAATGGACACAACGAGTCCTGCCCCTTCTCAGCGCCCCCGAGGCCAGGCCAGGCTGCCCAGGAAGCATCAGGCAGGGACTCAGATTGCAAAGATACATGGCGACACAGACACTCTGCCAGCCCACAGGAATCCAGGCCAAGAACAGATAATGCTTATACCAAGCATGCATCATAATTGCTAGGTGTCTAAGAGCTAACTGCTCCAGGTACAACATTGCTTCTAGCTGCTTCCTCCAAATCCCTAATAAAAGGAATCCAAGAACAACCGTTAACTAAAAGGAGAACCCCACTCCACATTCCCTCGCTTGTCTTATCCCTGAATTCCCTTTCCCTCCAGGCCCCCAGTATCTCACTGAGCACAGTGTCCAGATCACAGCAGCTCCGGGGCTTCCCCTGCATCTCACCTTCACAGGGCTTTCTTTCCCATGCAGATCCAGGGCACAATGCCAGCGTCTGCCAGCTGCCCTGCACTCCGGGCAATGGGGGAGGCACAGGTGGTAAAGGGGAAAGAACATGAACTCTGGGGTTGGAATCCCAGCTGAGATGCAAATCCTTAACCTCTTTGCATCTCAGTTTGCTCATCTATAAACGGGTGTCAGCAAAACTCACCTCATAAGAGTGTTCTGGAGATTAAATGAAACTGCATGTGAAGTGCCTGACCTACACCAGGCGCTCAGAAAAGGGTGCTATTTTTATAGGGATTTCACCAACTTGGCTGAATAATGCAGTTCCCAGGCGTGAAACACGTGAACAGTTTGAGAAAGAAGGGATTTAAAACCAGAAGTTCTTTTGGCACTTTATTCGTAGTGAATTGGATTCCCTTTGGATTGAGGAGGAGTAGACTTGTTTTCCTCTAAGAATTTTGCATTCAACTCAGACAGACGCCAAATCCATGGAGAACTCTGATTTTGTCGGAAGAACCGCAGAGTGGAGGGTCAGACCCATGCGGATTCTGGTTTTCAGGTTATCTGAAGCAAATCAGTTCACTGGTCAGACCACTCTGCGGTGGTTCTCAAGCCCAGCTACACATTAGCATCACCTGGGAAGCTGTTCCAACCCATGGGTGTGCAGCCCCATCCCCAACCAATTTCACCAGAATCTCTGCTGGGTGGGACCGGGTATCAGTATTTTTAAGAGCTCCCTGGATTATTCTAATGTGAGACCCGCTGAACCAGAAGATCTCCAAGAGCCCTCCCAGACAACCTGGTACCTACCATAATGTATGATTCAGAGTATGTGTTTGTTAATGAACGAAGATTCTGACTTATCTTTTTTGCTATTTCCATATGCACAAGGTATGAGGTAAAAGACGAAAAGAAAAAGAGTTGAATTCCAAGAATCCTAGAGCAGCGCTGTCCAATAGAAATTTCTGCAATGATGGAAATGTTCTATAATCTGTGTTGTTCAATACAGTAGCCATAAGCCACAGGTGGCTATTGAGTACTTGAAATGTGGCTACTGTGACTGAGGAACTGAATTTTTAATTTTATTTAATGTTAATTAAATAGCCACATACAACTCCTGGCTACCCTATTGGACAGTGCAGACACAGTGTCTACGTTTTATAAACACGTCTATATCTGTGCACCTCCACATCCCTCTTTTACTAACAGCACCCCATTTTCTTTTAGGGAAGCCCTCTGCCCCCACTGCCTCAGTCTTTTGGGAGCAGCTAATGAAGTTGCCCTGCCCTCCTCCAGCAGAGGGGTGGGCCCATGACCCAAGCTAAGTCAGCCAGACTCGCCTCTCTGGGAATTTGACTCTAGCTTCAGTGTCTCAAGAGTAGAAAATGAGTTGGAACAAATGAATACCAGTGTTGATGCCCTAAGACACTGTGTATTAGTTTCCAGAACATTAGTCCAGAGCGTGATGATAACAAGTGATATGATCTGAGCTAGGCATCATCATCACCATCCCTGTCATTATTAAAGTCACTTGTACCTTGCAGCTCTGATGTGCCAGCTCCTGAACTAGGTGCTTAAGTTGCCCAGCTTCCCTGGGCATCATTTCTTCATCAGTAAAATGGGAATTAACTCATTCTAACTTCTTCCAGAGTTTCTGTGAAGACGGATAATGATCATAAGAGCTTTGAGCCAAATAAGGAGTTATCCAAGTGTCTGTTAGAGGCGTTCTCTGGGTATAGGTGTGGGGGAATCATGGGAGGGTTTGATGCAGGACCCAGTATCTGGGCCCAGTTCACAAGCTGTGTGACACCAGGCAAGACACTTGTCCTCTCTGGGCTTTTGGCTAAAGTGAGACAGAGTTACACACAGCCCTTTCTAGTTTCACCAAGTTCTAATCTATTTGCATGCTCCTTCCACCTTGCCTGACACCCATCCCCTCCCACTCCTATGAATACATCCCAGAAAACTCTCGAGCCTAGACCATGCTGGCCTTGTACCCAACTCATTTCTTCTTTCCCCAGCACCCCACCTGACCGGGAAGTTGCCCTGGGTAAGCGCTCCCATAGCTTCCGGTACTAAGTCTCTGGCAAAGCACTTTACTGCAATCTTTTAACCGTCTCCTCCACTACCAGATCATAGCCCCACTGGGGCAGAGGCCAGGTCCCTCTTGTTCACCACTGTATCCCCAGTGCCTAGTATAGAGCGAGGCACGTAGAAGGTGCTCCATAAGTACTTACTGCTTGAATGAGTACCCCAAACCTATTTTATTTGTCATTTCTGGAAAACCACGGTATTAGTCATCTAATGCTGCATAACAAAGTACCCCAAAACTTACTGGCTTCAAACAACAATGATCGCTTCTTATCTCAGTCTCTGTGGGGGAGAAATTCAGACAGGCACAGCGAGGTTGGCTGTCTCTGCTCCATGTCAGGGACCTCAGCTCGAAGACTCAAAGGCCGGGGGCAGGAATCGTCCCAGTTCACCACCTACAGATCTGGTGACTCATGCTGGCCGTCAGCTGAGAGCCTAACTGGATGTCAGCCAGAACACCTCATGTCGCTTCTCCATGTGGCTTGGGCTTCCTGACAACATGGTGGCTGGGTTCCAAGGGTGGCTGTCCTGAGAGAGTAAGAAAGACACAGGAGGAATGTCTCCTCTTTATGACCAAGGCTTAAGGGGTACATCGCATCACCTCTACCACATTCTATTCATTTGAAGCCAGTCACTAAGTCCAGCCCACATTCAAGGGGAGGGGAATTCGACTCTATCTTTTGAAAGAAGTAGTAAAGAACTTGAAAACATAGTTTAGATCCACCATAACCACTTAACTAGCACAAGAAGCAAAGTGCAGGGTGAAAGCTAAGTGTCTGAAGAAGCAAGGCTTCAGTTCAAATTATTAGCTGTGTGAGCTTGCAGCAATTACTCTCTGAGACCCGGTTTCCCCAGCTATACAATGAGTGGGTTGCAGCTGTTGGTCCCTGGTGATTTTTACATGCTTGGCGTCTTCTTGCCTCAGTGAGCTTAAGAAGATCCCCTCTTAACCAGCTGTCTTGAAGTCCTGTGACCCTTCCCTGATCACCCTTGGTGTCTGCCCCTGGAGGCAGCAACGGGTCGCTGCTGGAGCTCAGAGGACCTGGGAAGTTCAGACACCTGGGGCAACTTTAAGGAAGAGATGGGTAACCACTGAGGTCCTCAGGATTCTCCAAGGCCTTCTCTGTCCTGCCCAGCTGCGGTAACCTCAGCTTGTCAGAGAAGGGGATGGTGAGAAATGCAGCAATCCGAAGCGGCCCGCCAGGGCCCAGGAATCTGCATTTACCCCCACGAGACTGTTATTCACACCAACTCCTGGTGAGAGGGTGGGGAGGAGGCTTAAAGCACACAGGCTGTGTCTCAATAGTAAAGTTCTTCACTTCTACTCCCTGTTCCCACCTTTTCCGCGTCACTGCTCTGTGGAGGGGGAGGAGGAGGGTCCGCAGTCCTGGGCCCGGGCACAACAATGGGCTGTACTTGCACCTTCTTCTGGACGGGCTGACCCTCCCAACTATCGCCTCCTACTCCCATGAGTCGCGGTCCCAAAACCCTGGGACGCAGCATCCGCCCTGCAGGGTGTGCAGGCACAGGGGCTCCCAGAGCCGGGTCCAGGAGGCAGACTACCCGCGAAACTTAAGCACCCCACTCCCAATGGTGCAGGTCATGGGGTGGCACAGGGTGACTTTAACCCTTTCACTTCTAGAGGTAGTGAGCCTAACCCGCAGATATCCTCCTTTAAGGAACGCGCGCGCCGGGAGGGCTCTGCGCTCACCCAGTAAGACGACCTCGGCTGAGTGATGGGGAAACTGAGGCCCAAAGAGGGAAGCGATCCGTTATATGTCCCACAGGAAAATAGGTGCTGAACCGATCTAGAATCCCGTTCTTCCAGGTCAGCGCTCTCGCTTCTACATCCTGAGGGCCCCTGTGAGGTTTTCCGCTTAGGAAATTCCCGACCGCGGGCCTTCCGAGCCCGGAATCTCCGTGGAGTTTGAGCTCCGTGTGGCACGTTGTAAACTTCCTCCGTAGCTCTGCACCGGCTTCGCGGCGCGCTGAGAGAGGGGTGAGAGAGGAGCGAACGCCCACCCGCATGCTAGAGATAACTTGGGGCGGAGGGATGGCCTCGGGAGGCGGAGGACCCGGAGGGAACGCGCTGGCCCTTTAAGGGGGGACGGAGCGCATGCGCGGCGCGGGCCGGCGTCGAGCCGGGTGGGCGGCGGGCGGACCCTGGACGCGGCCGGCGGCAGCTGGGCCTCGGGGCAGCAGGGGCGGCGGTGGTCCGAGCTTCACCGAGCCTCGGAGCCGTGACCTGCGCGTGGACCCCGCGCTCTGCGGGCTGCTCTCCGGGGACAAGCGCAGCTCGCGCTCGCCGAGGCTTTGTCACTTGTCTCCAGCTTCACTGGCGGGCCGTAGCTGCGCGAGCCTCCGCGCTTGCCCTTCCCGCCCCGCGGATCCTCCTCCATCCCTTAGCCGGGGCAGCCGGAGCCCGAGCGAAGAGCCGCGGAGCATCCTTCGCCCGCCCCGGCCGCGCCACCGCCCATGCTGCAGCCAGTTGGGGGCGGCGACCCCGCGGCCGGAGCCCGCCGCTTGGTGAGCTCAGCCTGGCCCCTGCGCGCCGCCCGACTCGGCCTCGCTGAGCCCCGGGCCCCGAAGCGGGACCTGCGCCCCGCGATGGCTCGGCTGGCGCAGCGCCGCGCCGGGTGCCCGCCGTTCGCCCGCTGAGACGCGCCCGGCTGGGGATCGGCGGGGTCTGGGCGCTCCCCGCCTTCGCCTCCCCGCCGCGCCCTTCCCCCTTCTGGGGCTCCGCTGCTGCTTCCCGGGGGCGAGGGCACAGGGGGCCGAGACAAAGCCCACTTTGTGCGGGGAGTTGGCCGCGGGCGTGGAATGTGCGAGTCGGCGCGCGCCCCCTCCCCGCGCCCCGCTAGCTGCGGGTTTTGGCTCCCGGACTCATCACCTCGGAGAAACCGCGGCCCCTCGCCGCCCTCCCGTCCGGAGGTCCCGGCTCGGAGCTGAGGCGGCCTGGAGTCCCCTCGGTCCCCCCCGGGGCGCGCGCAGGTGGGAGCGTGCGATATTTTGTAGAGGAATTTGTCGTCTCCAAAACTGGGACCTGAGGCGCCCAGTCGGCGTGGGCACCCGTGCCTTGACCCTTTCTGTGGCCGCAGGTCTGAGCTGTCTGGCCTCAGTTTCCCTCTGATTTTTCTCCTCTCTGCCAGCCCAGACTGCTGCCTGTTATTGTTCTCGCTGTCAGATGGGGGTGCGTTGTGAAGGCTGCCAAGTTGGGGTGTGTTCGCTTTATCCCGTTTTTCAAACAGAACGAGGTCTCTAAGGCCCGCCCAGGACAACCACCCCCTCCGCCCTCCACTTCACGTGGAGGTACTGATTTTTTTCTTATCTAGTAGTATTTTGTTGTACAGGAGCCGCGCCCTGGTTTCTTAAAGGCGCCGTGCATTCTTTTTTGGCCATGTGTTATCTCTGCAGCTGGTGTGTGGGAGGTCTCCTGTGAGCCACGTACTTTTTTCTGCCTCCTGACACATCCTCCCACCCCGGTCAAGGATTTGGGGATGCCAGCGGGGAAGAAGGTGGTCGGGGGTGGCAGCAGCGGTGCTGCCCCCACTGCCCTTGCGGCCTCTGGGCCCAGGCGTTTGGAAACCAACGAAGGGGCGTCAGCCCAGAGAGATGATGAGCCAGAGGAGGAAGGAGAAGAGGACCTGCGAGATGGAGGCATCCCCTTCTTTATCAACCGGGGTGGGCTGCCTGTGGACGAGGCCACCTGGGAAAGGATGTGGAAGCACGTGGCCAAGATCCACCCCGATGGAGAGAAGGTGGCCCAGCGGATCCGTGGGGCCACGGACCTGCCCAAGGTGAGGGGTTTGTGGGGATATCTAGGGTTTTAATGACCTTGGGACTGGGAGAGCACACTAAAGCCACACTTTCCTTAGTGGGGTAAGGGACCATTGGCATGGTAAGATTTTAAAAATACAGACAGGTTGTGCCTGTCCAGAAGAACTTTCTCTCCACTGTCACTGAGGTCCTGTGAGCTGTTCTTTGAGGACCACGTGCCCTGTTTCCAGGAGGCCCTCCTTCATCTCTTTTAAAATGCCCATGTTTGTGGGCAGGGCAACAGATTAACTAACTAATGTGGCTTGACATCTTATTTGCTAAACCAGAGAGCTGTGGGCAGAGAGCTAGTGAATGACTAAGGAGGATACAGGGCTTCAGATGTTGAGAAAATATTTTCATGTGTTATCTCACTGAATCCTCCAACAGCCTTGTGAAGTAAGTGCTGTATGGGGCCCCATTTTACGGATGGGTATGATGAAAACTCAAGTCTGAACTCAGGGTCCCCGAGCCAGTAAGTGGCAGAGCAGAGACTCAACCCCAGGTCTTTGGGTTCTAGGTCCTCTGCTCTGCTAGACATTAGATCATGGCAGTTAGAAGAGGGCCTGTGGAGAGGGGTCAAGTTAAATTACTTTTGTGTGCATGGCTGGAACTCCTCCATGACGGCTCTCCTGCAGTTGTGTCACCCGGGAAGGCTGAGGCTGTCTCATTCATCTTTGTCTTTCCAAGGCTTCCTGTGTGCCTGGCACAGATCGGGCACTTAAATGTATTTGCTGAATGAAAGGGTGCTTGAGACGTTCTGTGCTGTACAGCGCCATGTGGAAATACACGCCTGATTTTTTAACATTATGGTTAAGACTGAAGAAGCACTCCCTCAGATCCAGAGGCCTGAAATCCCCAAAGAAAAGCCCTTTGGACGAGGTCAGAGTCCAATGCTTAGTCCTGACTGCTCAGGTGAGAAGGAAGGCAGCTGGGCAGAATGGCAATTAATGTTGATTAGACAGACAAGTCACCTGTTTTGTTTTTACCACGTTATCGGTAGATCAGAAATTGCCTTCTGGGAAAAGAGAATTCAAAGGTTGAAGGTTGAGCAACCACCTAATGTTTCCAGGGAAAATAAAATGTGGATTGATTTTGAATGGCTACGTAATTGCCTACTGTACTAACCTGAATTTGTTTAGCTAGTTTATTCTATTATGGTTGGACATTGTTTTCAATAATTTATTTTGAACACTGTGGTCAACATTCTAAAATATAAATTTGGGAGTCTATCTCTGATTATTTCTTTGGGGTAAATTCCTGGAAGAGAAAATAATTGCATCAAAGGATATGACCATTAGCTCGGATTGCCTTCTATATATATGACATTAAGCGGTTCCCTTCAACCTATTTGAGCCACAGTTTTCTCATCTGTCAAATGGAGTTGCTTGTGGTGAAGGTTAAATGAGAGACTATGCATTAAAGCATCAGACAAACTAAAGCCTCAAACTAATACTGGTTACTGGGTGTTCAATACCTGTCTTCACGTTCTTCCTCAGTAAGGAGGCTAGATTGCACTCAGAGCATTTGTGAGGCCAGAGCCACATGCTTCTCCTCCAGATTCTCCCACATGAGCAAGTTGGCGTTTAGCAGATGGCTCTCCAGCCATCTTGCTTATGTCTAAATCAGGCTGTGGAAGAGTGTGAATGGTTCCCTGCAGAACTGTCACCACTCCTGGAGACTAAAAAGTCAGGGAGCTCATTAGCAACTGGTCTGTAATGTCATCTTGTCATCTTCAACCTCCATGTATAGAAAAGACACCAATGAAGGAATGAAGCTATTGTCGCGGGGAGGGGGAGTGTCATGATTGACAGGAGTATGGCAGTGTGGAAGGAATTTTTTTGAGAGGACTGGGAAAGTTTGAAACTTCCCCTCCTCAAACCACAGGAAAAGTGTCGCAGAGGGAAAACCCACCCAAGCCTGGGTGGGGTTCCTCCTCGACCTTGGCCCAGAGTAGAAAGGAGCCCTAGAGTCTGGGAGGAGCAGAGGAGTCTGGGAGGCATCAGTGGTTGGATCCCAGAATGCCAGCCACAGAGTGGACCAACCCCTGGGCTGTCCCCTTCCCGAGTGGCCGGGACCCTGGAGCTGGCACAGAGGCATTCTCAGCAGAGGTCATACCATGCGGGGGGGGGGCCCAAGAGATATTTGGGGATGGCATAAAGACCACTTGAGCCAAAATTTAAAATTAGGAGATTTCACGTAAAGATCCAGATTTTTGGCACCTTTTCAGAAAATGAGAAGATCCGGGAACAGAGAATCTGCGATACCACATGGCAGCTGGCTCTGAGGAGCGGCTGCCCCTCCCCCAGTTGGCCATAGCCCCCCAGTCCCTCTCAGCCTGCCTTCCCCATTATGTTACCTGCTGGGCCACTGCAGGTTCCTCATCCTGGGACCCCTACAGTGTAGTGTGATAAAAAGAGAGAGTTTTGCAGTCAAATCCACCATGTTCAAATCCTGGGTCTCCCGTAACTGCTTATGTGAGGGAGGTATGCAACCTCCTTGTGCCTCAGTTTCCTCAGCTGTAAAATGGGGATAATAGCAATACCTGCTTTGGAGGGCTGTAGGGAGGAATTGAAGAGGTAAAGCATGTGGAACAGGTGAGCGTATAATACACGCCCAGCGGATGGAGCAAGGAGGAAGGTGTAGCAGACCACCACACAGGCACTTGGGGGAAACATCCTTTAAGAGGATGATACCAGGATGTTAAAGGGCAGCAGTTTCCAAAAGGAGCCCAGACCCGGGAACAGTTTGTGCTTCTTCATAAGAATCTCTCCTTGATGTTTCAAGCTGCCACAACCTTTAAAAGCTCAGTGGCCACTCATCCCTGACCCAGCTGCCCAAGGTCTTCTGACTGTGGCTCTGGTCTCTGAGCTCCTCAGAATGCAAATTTGGACATCTCCTCCAAGAGGTCACATCACCGGGATCAGTAGGTGCTGACCGGGATCTTTGGCACATGCTGGAGTCACAGTGACAGTGAGCAGGCGTTGAGCCCTTGCTGTGTGCCAGGCCCTGTGCTAAGGCCTCGACGTGGCAGCAAGTCATCTATGCTCTGAGGTTGGTTCTAGTATGGTACCCATTTTACAGACGAGGAGTCTGAGGCATAGAGACGTTAAAGATCTTGATGCCAGACAGTGAGTGGCAGGGTGGGGATTTAGATGGTGATGGTCTGGTCCTAGAGCCGGCTCTGTCAGCCTCTAGGCTGCCTGGCTTCTTGCCCACATGTTTAGCTGTCACCCCTCCCCCAAGCCTCCTTTCTGTGCTAGACTGAGACAGACTCCACCAGGGAGAATGTCAGGACTTTAGGGGGTTCTTGGGGCAAGGATGACCCTTGGCCTTGGTGGTGGAGGAGGACTTGTCTCTGCAGAGATCTGGGTAGCCCATCTCACTCGCCCCCATTACACCCCACGTAACCCCACCCCTCAGCAGCGACGAAGCATTTCTTGGCTCCTGGTTTGGGGCAAGGGGTCAGGGGGCAGATCCAGGCTCCCAGTTCTAAAGTGAGCCTGGTCGTTTGGACGTACAGAGTCTTATTTATTTTGAGCGAATGAGGGTGTGCTTGTGTGAACATTCAGAAGAAAGGCATCAGCGCTGTCTGCTGGGGTTGTTAACACGAGTTATCCTGAGTCACGGGGCTGCCGGACTGCTCCTTACCGCTAAGCCTTGGTGGTGGTGGCCTTTAAGGCCCTGCTTGTGCATCCCCGGTCCTTTTTAACATTTTGGAGCCATTTCCTTCTCCCAGAGCAGCCAGTTCCTGGCTCGTCTGTCTGGGTGGCAGTGCCGATGCCCTCGTGGGTTCCTCCTGGCCCTGGTGCAGACCGGGCTCTGGCGAGCTTAGGTGAAGGCCTCTCGGACTCCTCCTTATTTGCAGTGTCTCAGGGGAGGGCGTACTTAGAGTCTCTGCCCAAAGCTCCTGGGAGTCACTGGATGCTCTCTCTTGAGAAGGGGAGCTGACCCACCTGCCTCTCAGGGACCTTCCTCCTGAGGCCAGGTGGCATGCTGTTTAGTAAATTTTGAAGTAATTCCTCTAATTCCTCTCCCACCCCCACCCCCACCCCTGCTCTCACCCCATATCCTTAACACAGGGAGGTGAGGCCAGGCTCTTGGCGAGTTCTGGAGCCCGTCTGGCACAGGGTGGTCAGGCAGGAAGAGGGAGAGCCCCCCATCCCGAGGTTTTTATCCTCCTGGTGACTGTAAGTGGTGGCACCAGTTTGGGCAGTGGTGTGATGTGAAAGGGGAAATAGCTTCCCCCAGACAGAGGTGTCAGCTGCTGGGGACTGCCCAGACAGGAAGGAGGGGACCAGGAGGGGAGGGAGAGGAAGTTCAAGCAGGGCTGTGGCTCCCAGACCAGGCCTTCCCTCCTCCCCTTTGGAAGAGTAGGGGTCTGTCAGAGGCTGTCCGGTGCGCCCCCTGCCATCGGCGGCACCCCAGACACGAGTGTACGTGGTCACGGATGTCACTTCCCTCCATGTCAGAGCCCCACCCACTGCAGCCCTGTTCTTCAAAAGGCTGTGCCCCGTGGGCTCGGCATCTCACTGCAGGGAGAGTCCCCCCACCCCAGCCCTACCTCGATTCACAGGGGATCCTGCTATACCCCATCCCTCCACACACACCCCTACTCATGCAGACTGAGACTCTCTGCAGCCCCAGCCTGGGGGGTGGGCTCCGTGTGGGCTGGGGCATTGGGCAGAGGCCTGGGGGGAGAGGGTGGGACCTCTCCGTGTGAAGAGCCTGAAACCACCTCACAGCTGGCAGTGCTGATGGCCAAGGGGGAGCTTAGAGGGGTGGGCCTTGTCCCTAGGAATCTGGTTCTTCTACCCAAAGAATTGTGTTCTGTAACTCCAGAGGGTCCTAGTTGATGCTTTGTTTGGCCTCCTCAGCCTCACTAACTTGTTGCAGCCAGTCTGCCAGGATTTGGGCTTCCCTGGCCAGAGAGTGGGCCTGCAGCATGGGGGCCCACACCTGTGTGGTGGCCTCTTTCCTGGAGACTGCCTGGTGGCTGAGGGGACAGCCTTGGGGGTCTGCGGCTTCTGACTCATCTCAGCAGCCTGGCAGCCCATGGCCTGTCAGTTCCCAAGCACCAGGAGGCGCCTGCCTGACCCACCCCCGCTTCCTGGGCTGGGCTTTGGAAAGTCTCTTCTGGTGAGGACAGCTTACAGGTGTGGAGCTGGTGGGAAAGGGAGGTATTGAAGGGAAACTTGGGCTCCTGTGCCTCCGTGAAACCCCTCAAAGCAGCCAGGCCGCGGCAAGTAGATCCACAGCAAGACCCGTCCCAAAGCATGTTCCTCCGGCCTGCTACCACTGACTTGCTCCTCGACGGTTCACAGTGGAGCCTGGAAGGCCTCGTCAGTGTGCCATATACTGGGTGGGTGACACCTCTTGCCACAGGTGTGTCCACCCCTCAAGGGAGTGCTCCCCAGCCCAGGGCAGGGCCCTGAGGGATGGGACACTGGTCAACCAGGTTTCACCTAGCTCTTGAACCAGAGTGAACCCCACACTCTGAACTTGAACCCCAAATGAACTTAACCCCAATGTTGACATTCTCGTTAAACCTTGAAGTTAATGAATATTTAAAATTCAAAACAATCGGTGAGTGAACCTGTGTTTTTCTAAAATTATTAAAGAAGCACAAAATTGGAACATCAACATATGCTCCAAATTAGGAACAGCTGTCAAGTGCCAGGAGGGAGAGGCATGGCCACGGTGAGGGCCTGAGGTGAGGGCCTGACGGGAGCCTCCAAAAGGGGTTGCCGGGGAGAGACACTCAGGGGAGGAGGGAGGCCCTGCCTGGGGTGTGGCTCTCTGGGGGCTTATCCTGGGGTCTTCCCTCTGTGACCAGAGCTCTGTGTCCCTCCCCAGATCCCCATACCGACTGTGCCTACGTTCCAGCCCTCCACGCCCGTCCCTGAGCGCCTGGAAGCCGTGCAGCGCTACATCAGGGAGCTGCAGTATCCTCCCTGGTCCAAGGTCAGGGCCGCTGTGGGGCTGGCTTGCGGGTCCAAAGGCCGAGTGGGCTCGTTCTCAGACAGGGCTGGGGAGGTCTCAGCAGAGCAGCCTCCTTTCACAACTGCAGGGGCGCCGTCCACAAAGCATTGCACACCCTGGAGTTGTGTACACATAGCCCGTGTCTGCCCAGGGTATTGGAGGGATTTTGTCTGATGAATGCCATACCCACTTCAGCCTCTCTGCCACCCGCTGCCTCCTCCTCCATGGGATGGGGTAAATGTCTCCCAAGCGACTCTCTGGTGGGGGGCCGAGCCTAGGCCCACCAGCCCATACCTCCTCCTCTGCTGTCCAACCAGCCCCAGCAGAGGGAGAGAGGGAGAGCTCCTTTGGGTCGGTTTAAAAACTAGTTTTAAAGGTGGGGGGTGGGGCAGAGGGAGGAGAAAAGGATTTTGTGCTCCAGGAAGTAACTTCCACATCTTGGAATGTTCTCCCAGTTCTTTGCCTTTTTCTTTCCTGGCAGGAGGCTGGTGGCCCAGTGTGGAAATAGCTGGACTCCCCTGAGCCTCAGATTCCCCCATGTCCCTGCTCTGGGCCTGCCCTCCACCTGCGCCCTGCCTGGAGCTTTGTGTCCTGGGTTCTTTTCCCCCAGCCCTTCTAGCTGCAGATGAGGCAGAGATGGAAGGACCAGGCATGTGTCCTGAGCAGGAGAAAAGCCAGGCTGGTTACTGAAAATCAGGTCCAGCCCTTCCCTTTGCCAGTGGGGAAATTGTGTCCCGAATTGGGGAGGCGGTTGGCTCAGGAGCAGCAGCCAGCAATGTAGCTGAGCTGGACCCCTACCGCAGCCTTCTCCTCTCAATTCCTGTTGCTTCTCAGCTGGTTGAAGTGCTGCAGAGAGCTGTCCACAGCTCAGCCTCTTTCCCAGCCCTGGCTGGCCTGGCTGCCTGCTCCACAGCTCCCTTCCTAGGAGGGGAGACGAGGGGAGGGCAAGGGTGGAAGTCAAAAAGGATGAGAGAGAAGGGCTGAGGGGCCGTCTGGGGGCAGGAGAAACTCATGTGCTGTGCCCTCCTCTCCCCTCCAGACCATCAGGTCTTGAGCATCCTCCAGGGTGCCTTGTGGAAAGCACTTTGTGGGGTCTTTACCCAGCCTGCACCCCTGGGAGTGCTGGGCCAGAGGATCTGGAGGATGGGAGGGGGGAGAGGGACACGCCTCTTCCAGACCAAGCCAGGAAGCCCTTAACCCGCACCCGCAGGTACAATCACACAGGGACACAGTTCTTTGAAATTAAGAAGAGCAGACCTCTGACAGGGTAAGTGTGAGGGGCACCCTGTCCCTCTGCACCGAGGCTGACAGTGCCCCCGGCCGGTGGAGCCCCTCGGGAGCCTTTGGGTGGAAGTTTCTGAGGCAGGAAGGGACTCTCCCCAGGGATGCCAGCCAGCAGGGGCAAGTACCACCACGGGGCTCTGAGGATGTCATAAAGAGGGAACTCTGGCCAAGATGAACAGCCAGGGCTCCCTTGATGAAGAGGAAACCCTGACATCCTTGCTGAGCTAGGAGGTGATGGGCAGCCTCCAGCTTGCCTTGCTGCTGATAGAGGGTGGTCCTAGGTGGGTTATCTGTAGGTGAGCCTGGGATCTGTTTTTTTAAATTGAAGTGTAGTTGACATAAGACATTATATTAGTTTCAGATATACAATGTAATGATTTGATATTTGTACGTCCGTGAAATGATCACTGCAATAAGTGTAGTTAACATCTGTCACCACGCGTAGTTACAATTTTTTTTCTTGTGATGAGGACTTTTAAGATCTACTGTCTTAGCAAGTGTCAAATATGCAGTACAGTATTACTAACTATAGTCACCATGCTGTACATTACATCCCCATGACTTCTTTATTTACAACTGGAAATTTGTACCTTTTGACCCCCTTCACCCATTTGGATTTTTTTTTTTATAATGAGAGGTGGGTCTAGCCGCCGAGAGCCCTCCCCACTTCTCTCCAGTTCCTGCACTGCCTGTGCTCTCCCCAGTGCAGGGAGCCTGGGCCTCACCGCATTTGCCTTACTGGACTCTCTTCTGGTCGTTTAGTACAAGGCCCAGTGTCTGAGCAACAGAGACCCCACTGGAGAGAACGCTGCACCTCTCATTTCCCATTCCACCACCCAAGTTAGACCGCCGGCTGGATTCACCCGCAAGAAGCCCCGGGGTCAGAGGAGAGTGAAGAGTGAATGCCGCAGCTGCCCACAGGCTTAAAACCCTGTGCTTTACAAATTAATCTGAATTTTACATCTTGTTCCACACATAATCTTTCCATATTCACTTTCTTGTGAAAAATGTTTAAATGGTTTATTAGCTAAATTACTTAATTACCCCCTCTCTAAGCCCCCGGGTGGAATCCAGCCTCCCTAACCCCAAAGCTTTGCTCTTATTGTCCTGTGGCTACTGTGTGCTGGGGGCCCAGCTCCAGCCTCACTGGGATGGAGGGGTGCAGCACCCTCCTGGGCAAAGCCAGTGGCCAGGCTGCGTTCCCAGGCTTGGGGGCACCATTTGGTGAGAAGGGAGGAATTGGGCCTCAGGGGAAGGCTGTCTTCAAATGGCCTAATTTCCAAGTTCAGGAGCAGGCTGGGGTGTCACCAGGCTAACTGCCTGAGATCCCTTGTCCAGGCCCTGGGCAGCAGGCCAGCTGTGGGGGAGCATTGCAATCAATTACGAGCTCTTCAGAGAAGCCATGGTTGGGTCACGCGTGCCCACTGAGCTCCAGAAGGGACAAGGTCAATGCTGAGGTCCTCAGCATCCTTGCCATGCTTTCCCTCTGGCCTGGCACCACTATCACAGAAGGCCCCCAGCTCAGTGGTTGTCAAAGGACCTGCCTGCGACTGCATGCCCCCTATTCATGCTCCCCTCCCCCAGAGGTCTTTGGAGCAGGAGCCTGGGATGGAAGGAGGAAGTGAGAGAAGGGAAAGGAAGGGGGGAAAGGGCCTCCTTCCTTATCTTCAGTGGTGCCTCTTCTTGACCCGCCCCCCCACCCCCCCAGGCTTCAGATGGTCTTGTGGGGAGAGGAGGGACGTGCTGGGCCCGGGCTGAGGCAGCTTGGAAGGCGGGGGTGGGGGGGATCCGGGAGTGTCTCTGTCCTACTAGCATTTCTAGTCTACCCTGCCCCTCCTTCTGACCCTCCCCCACAGAAAGTGGCTGGAGGCTCTGTCCTCAAGGCTCTGCCTCCCTTCCCCCCAGGCTGATGGACCTGGCCAAGGAAATGACCAAAGAGGCTCTGCCAATCAAATGCCTGGAAGCCGTGATCCTGGGAATGTATCCTTGCTGGACCCTGGGAGGCCGGGGGTGGG